AAAAGGGAACTAGAACAAGAAGAAAGAAATAAAAAATAAAAAATTACGTCAAAAAAAAAAAGAAAAGAAAAGAAAGGAAGAAGAAACAAAAAAAAAAAAAAAGAAACTAAAAAAAAGGAAAAAAAGAAAAAGAAGAAGAAAAGGGCGAAATTGACGTGAAAAAAAAATAAATAAATTTAAGGAACAAGAAGTTGGAATTGGAACCAATTCCAATGTTCCAATTCTAGAAACCAAGAAATATATGTTAAAAAAATATTAATTAATTGGTTTTTACCATTTTTGGCAGAAACCTAAGAAAAAGGAATTGGTTGGTTTCCGCCGTCGCCTCCCAAAAAAAAAAGGAGAGAGAAAGAAACAAGAAAGACAAAAAAAGAAATAATAATAATAAAATAAAATAAAAAACTTTACCTCTGTTTGCAAGATTTAACACTTATTTCTAATTCTCATAATTCTTTCGTATAAATAGGCAGGTAATGGACTTTATTTAAGCACAACTTACCATAAAACATAAAAAGTCTGTTTAAATAAAATTTGTTATGGGTCGCATAAAATAAATAAATAATCAAAATTCTATCAAAAAAATTATTATTCTCAAATTTGAAGAATAAAATTCTTATCAAATTCACATTCTGTTCTCAAGTCTTCCATCCGTATTAGTTTACTAATGGGATGTTTGAGGTCAAATTAAAAAAAAAAAATCAAAATCGAACAAATCAAAAAATAAAATCGAAAGTCAAGATTTATTAATTTATTTATTTCATAATAAATAAATAACTTTAAAGGGGCATTTGTAGACATAAAAAAATTGGATTGGATCGATTTAAATCATTAGCTCAATTAAATTAAAGTCTACTAAAATCCATAAAATCCAAGGGCCCATGCCAAATTTTGAATAAATAAAATAAACAAACAAATAAATAAAATCGTAATTACTCAATTATCTCATTTAATTAAATATAATTGAGTATTACCAAGATTAACATGGATTATCCCCTATAAAATAGGACCAATGGTCCATAAGATGGGTAGAAGGAGAGGTGAAAGCTGAAGCAAGAAAGAAAGCACAGAACGTCATGAAGTGCTAAAGAAATTTCAAGGCTAGAAGAATCGAAGAAATTCTCTCAAACCTAAACTCGGTGAATTCCAAAAAGATTAAAATCTTCTTCAAATCGAACAGGTTCAAGCCAAGTTCAATGAGATCAAAGACTTCCTCAAATCAAATCAAATTCAAGTCCAAGTCTAAGCTCCGAAGTTCAAGTTCTGAACAAGTCAAGTCTCCACAAATCAAATTTTCAAAAAATTCTTGAAGATCAGGATTCAAGCCACGTGGCCCCTCGTCTTCAAATATTCAGATCATTAATAAAATGATTTTTGCAATTTTGTAATTACAAGAAGGTCAACATCACTTATATTTATCAAAATATAATTTGTAACAATTTCTATATTTTAATATACGAAATTTAGTCGTACAGAAGCTCCTTGCACAACAAAGCCTGAAAGCAAAATGTCATCATCGATTCTGGTGTGGCACCGGATTGTAAGAGCGTGATGAACAAGATCTAGGACAAATTTGTGCCTGGCTATCCCCCATGATCATTAGAAATAAGTTTAATATCTCCGTAAATTATATGGAATTTATGAGTGCGTTTCTGTTTGAAATCAAAGATTGTCAACTTTTTATAAAAGCTCTTCTAGTAACACTTTCAAAAAGTCATCCAAATATGTTCTAAACCATCTTGTTAATTTCAGAAACATTTTTGACATTTCAAAAGTCTTCCCTTGAATTGTCACAACATTCCTACACCATGTAGGTATTATGCATTAGTTTAGCCATGCTAGGAGTGATTTAGAAGCATGTTTCGGAGTTTTCAACTATTTAAATTATAAATAGGTATAAATGATTGATAGATAAGTATGTAGTATTTGCAAGTCGTACGGAATGTATGGATAAAAAGTGATTTGATCACTACTCATTTGCTGCTTAATATTCAAATCACATTCAAGTCTCATTTCAAACGGGAATCCAGAGAGTGAGGAAGGGGAATGGTCCTTCAAATGTCTGATTTATATCCCTCCAGAAATAACAGAAAATATCAATGGGAAGGTAGGCGTGACTGGGCTTGACTTGAGTACTCTTATGGGCAGCTTAGCAGCGGCTTACTATACTGATATCGTCGTGAATTCTTCCATGGTAACGAGCCTTAGCACGTTGACTGTTCAGGTCGGTCCAATGAACGAAGACACGGGAACAAGAAATGCACTCTCGAATGGTGTTGAGGTTTTCAGGGTTAACTATTCTGTTGGTAACCTAGAAGATGAGTTTGGTGTCGATGGAAAACAGCCAATCGTACGGGGAAAGGCACGGTGGGCAGTCGGGTTGCAACGATGTTCGGAGCCTTTGTCCGATTAGGTGCAATGGCTGTCAAATGGCAAAAGAGGCCTTAAGATTGGCAGAAGACAAAAGAGCTTCTCTTCTTGGTCACTTCCCCTCCATTCCACTGATTTAAGCTTTATGTCGAACAGTAAGACGTCGTTAGGGTCTCCAAAAAGTCAACTCTTTTCATCGATGACTGGATTGGGCCGTGACTTTTCTTTTACCGAACTGCAGGAAGCAACCCGGAATTGGGATCCAGCCGCAGTCATCGGTGTTGGCTGATTTGGCAACGTCTAACTCGGAGAAATAGATAATGGATCGAAAGTAGCTGTTAAACGAGGCAACCCACAATACAAACGAGGCATTAATGAATTCCATACCGAGATACAAATGTTGTCCAAACTTAAGCATCGCCATTTAGTGTCCCTGATTGGATACTGTGATGAAAACTCTGAAATGATCCTCGTATATGAGTATATTTCGAATGGACCTCTCGGGATCACCTCTATGGAAAGGACTTGCCGCCCCTTTCTTCGAAGCAAAGGCTTGAAATCTGTACTGGGGCCACACGTGGGCTGCATTACCTGCACACGGGCGCGCCAATGGGTATTATTCATCGTGATGTCAAGTCGACAAACATCTTGCTTGTTGAAAATTTTATTGCGAAAATGGCTGATTTCGGCCTGTCCAAAGACGCTCTGACGACAGAACAAACTCGTAAGCACAGCTGGGAAAGGGAGTTTTGGGTATTTAGATCCTGAATACTTCAGTAAAAAACAACCTACTCATAAATCTGAAGAGCACTCATTCGGGGTAGTTCTTTTGAAGGCTTTGTGTGCTCGTCCTGCCATTAATCCAGCATTGCCAAGAGAGCAAGTGAACTTGGCAGAATGGGCAATGCAGTTGAAGCTAAAAGGCCTACTTGACGAGAATATCGATCCTACATTTTTTGGGCGAATCAATCCTGAGTTGATGAAGAAACTTGCAGAGGCTGCAGAGAAATGTTTGGTTGATTATGGTGTCGACAGACCTTCCATGGGCGATGTTTTGTGGAATTTAGAGTACTCTTTGCAACTGCAAGAAGCGTGATCTCGATGAAAGGCTGAGGAAGAAAATCAGATGTCTCTAAATCCAGCATCCCCTCCCATAGTTTCTCTTCCTACTGTTGGTTCAACCTTGGATAATAGGCCTTTTTCTACAGCTGAGGAGAGTATGAATTCCGCCGAAGTTGAAGCAATTAGGATCACTCGGAAACTGCAATTTTTGCGCTCTCAAAGGTTGATAAGCAAAATTTGCACGTCCGGCAAGATGGACTATACATCATTCTGTAGTATAAAACACTGAAGAAGAGAAAGAAATGAGCTATAATCTTGTTGGAACTATCCAGTTATTAGAAATCCCATTCATTCACATCGGTTTGTACATTTTTGTTTTATCTTCTGTGTAATCAACTTTTCCTTCACAAGGTATAGTTTTTGTAATTGTCTTGATGGATAGTGTTGTTATATTGTTATATTGTTTTTTCTCACATCAAATTTGTGTGTATTTGAAACTTGAAATCAAATTATTCTAAAGTTGACCCTAAAATCGAGGTTTTTGGGGTTGGGTCCAAGACTAATCTCATTATGTTCGCGTACATGTTCGTGTTTAACAATGCTTGACTTATATTTTTTCTGTTCTAGCGAGATGTATGACTTTTGGTGTATCTTACCAGTGCAGTATGTTGTTTCTTCTGTTCTTTTTTTCTTCCTTTCCTTTATAAAATTTTCATTTCTTTGTTTCACGGATTTTTAGAAAATCCATCTTATTTTCATTCAACTGCTACAAGATCAACAATTCCATAAGCTTGGGCTTCTGTTGCTGACATAAAAACATCTCTTTCCATCTATTTCATCAAATCTTAATGCCAAAATTATTTGTTATCAATGTTGAGATAACAATTCAAAATTCTCAAGTTGCTATTAGAAGAAGAAATCGAATCAAGGTATTCAAACTGTTTTTCCCAAAACTACGACTCAATAAGCAAACAAAGGCATCTCACATTTCAGCGATCTAGGGCTCCAAACATTGTACGCTTCTATACAAACCAGAAATCTCAAACTCAGACTCTCAATGGTTAGTCGACAATGCTTCTATGTATTAGAAGGCATCGAACTAAAACCACACAATCTTCGCTCGAACAAAGAATCACAAAGACTCAAGTTTCACTAAAAAACAAGAAGAAAATCATTGAACCAGAGGTTGAAGATGATTAGAGAAGACGAAGGGAAAAAAAGACGCAAAGAGAACTCCAAAAGACACAACAGAAAATTAGATAGCACAATTGAGTTAGGACCGATCACCAATGCCCTATTTATACTCCACATCATCATTGTTGATTTTAGATGATGATCAACGGTCCAAATTAATTGGCGACTTCAGCATTAAATGGCAACTAAAGTTGCTCTTCCAAAATGTGATATATTTGGTCTGGGTTTTGGGCCCCTCATAATTTGAGTTGTTGGGCAATTGATCAAAACAGCAAAATGGGCTCGTTATCCCCCAAATGGACTGGATTGGATCACGGCCCAAAAGGAAGAAACATTTTGCTTTGACGTTGCCTTTCAGAAAGCAAAACAAAAGTTCATTGAGAAATTTAACATGAAAGAGATCTTGCTTTCACCTTACATCCAAGAATTCATGTCACAAATTTGTATACATCCTGGATGAAAATATGTTTCTTTACAAATATGCAACCTTTTGCTATGTTACAACAATATTTCACGAATTTTCAAATTCAAGAAACTAGAGCTTCTGCTGTCTCTCTCCCCTTCACTAGCAGCATGTATTCATGCTACAAAATCATGCAAAAGACTGGAGGTGGCAAAATGATGCTGCCCATTTCCCGACCGTGTGTGGGTCCCAGTAGACGAAGTCTCCCCATTGTTTACATTATTGCCTCTAACAGTGAAATAACCATGTTGAGTGTCATCAGACATTGGTACACTACTGGCCTCAAAATGCCGCAATCCTAATGTAAGTGATACCTCATTTCCACTTCCAAATCTTTCCATTTTTGACATATGGTATGTAGCAGCTTCTGCTTCTGTAAATCTATCAGTTTCACAATTTGAATGCAATATTGTATCTGGAAAAGGACTAGCGTCATCCACGGAAGTCCTCAGATCTCGAGTTGTTCTCTCTGACCCGTATTCATTCTCAGGTTCCACACAAGTCGAATTCTGGAAAATCTGATTGGTTTCCAACTCTACCATTTCTAAGTCAGGGAGATTCCTGGGGCTACAGCATTCAGTTCCTGGAGAAGTTGCATTCTGTTGCAAATCTTCTTCTCTTGCATCACTTTTCATAGCTTTTGGTGCATTCTCATATGAAGAAATAGAGTCCATTTCTGCATCACCAATCTCTTCTTTGTACATCTCTTCAACCATGGGCTTCCACAGCCTAACTCTTGCATTTATGAACCAGTTTGAGACCTGATGGAAAAGCAAAGCAGACAAGTATCAACTGATCGTGTTAAATCACCTTGTCTTGCAAAAGCTAAAACAATGTAAATTGTTTCACCTGACTCCTTGATAAACCAGTCTGTCTGGCTAGCATGATCTTGTCCGAATCTTTTGGGTAGCTGCAAAACATAAAAATAATCGATCAAATGATAGAAAATCTCCATACAATCCGGAGGCATGATTGGACAGTAGACAAGTGTGAGTACGTTTCAGATTAAACCCTGATTCCAACAAGAAGAATTTGAAAGTAATTAGAAATTATCTGAACACTTATAGGTAGATTTAGTTTCGTTCACCCTATTGTGAAAGCTGCTTTATTTTCATTGTAGTTTTAACCACGGAGAAAAAGAACACTGTAAATGGTGATCTCACTTCTTCCAGTCTCTGTTTACCAAAAAACTGCCACCCAAATAATCTTTTATTTACATAAGAATATAAATTTATAGAATGCCTAATTTGTCATCAGATAAATGTTCTATATGATTAGGCCCGAAGAAAAGGTAAATTTTGTGTAACTTACGGATGAAGGAAGTGCTCGAAGAGCCAAGCACGCAGAATAGAAACCGAGTTTTCGGGAAGTCCGCGTTGTGGCCGCCAGCCATGTTGCATCATACCAAGTTGCTGAATGGCTCTCTGTTGTCTTAGTTTCTGATCCACATAACGGAGTCGAGTTAATCCAATCCCTTTACCATTCGATAAAGAATCTTGCTCGCCGAGGCTTTTCTGTGCAGCCTGAATCTGGGCATTTATGGCGTCGCGCAAGCAACGAAAATGGCGTGAAATTGTGTGGAGGGCAAGGGATGTGTATGGTTTGGCTGCACCAGAGCCTGCTATCATGTCAAAAGAAGACGTCACTATTTGCATTTGATGGTAATACTGTCTGTACCTTCTGTCAACCTGTTATGAAAACAAGGTACCGTGACCGTTTTAGGCAAATATAAAAGAGCCAAGAAGGCAAAGATTCATGTAGTTCGGCACTTGTCTATGTTCATTGACAGAGAGGAAAATAAAATTACTAAATGAAAAATGGTAGAATATAAAGAGTAAACCACTCAATTCTCAAAACCCCAACATTTGTAATACGCAATACTAAGAAAAACTTCAAATTGTAGCTTAAACCTCTGAGTATCACTCAAATTGGGATGATACAGTGTACTCCTATTCTATGCATAGGTGAGATTAATCAAAACCAGAATTCACAGCTTGTAATGTTAAATCTTGATTTAGAAGTGATGGCTAAAGAAGGAGAAAGACCATTAGTTTGGTTTTCAAGCTTCAAACTTGATACATGAACTGTGTCCCCTTTAACAATTTCAAGCTTCAAACTTGGTACATGAACTGTGTCCCTTTTAACAACAAATAAGTATTGTTTCCAGTAAATTTGGACTCGAGCTAGAGGATTCCTCTTTTTACCGCTCCTTTTGATTCATTTCTAGATCTATTGAGGGATTAAACATTAAATCCTTAACAACTAGAACATGCATATTTGTTATGGTGTAACTCCCCCTTATAACATGTTCTACCGAAACGAATCACGTCCTTCTATGATTGAGTTCATAGGCCAAGAAAGAACAAGAAAAATGCACAGCGATAATGCTAAGTCAAGATGCATTCATATTCCGCTCAAAAATAACACCAAGAAGAGAACACGATTATGGTAAGCTAGAAAAATTATAAATAGTTGTCACTTCTCTCGCATCCAAAAAGAAAGATATCCACAATAAGCAGTTCTAAAATAAGCTAATTTGTAATAATTAGATGTTATAAGAACCATATATCTTTCTTACCTCATCCAACATTGACAAGAGCTTGCTGAATTTATTTTGCAAATCTTGCTTCTCAGCTGCTGAAACATCACCCTGGAAATTTTCTGAATTTCCATTTCCAGTTTCACTGTCACTTTCTTTAGAACTTCTTGATAAATCCTTTTTAGAATTTTGCTTATTTACACCTTTTTTGACATGAACAATTTCATCAAGCAATTCTTGAACTACTTTCAAGTACTTTGGATTAAGAACAGCTCTAGACTTCCCATCTGAACTGCTTCCTGGAATAATCATATCCTCATTCGAGTTCAAGAAAATGGGATCATGATTCTGATATTGGAATGAAGAAATCTGCATTCCTGATGGTACATTTGTACCGAAACTAAGGGATAATCCTGAAGATCCATCCACCGAAGTCACTTTCTTTAGAACTTCTTGATAAATCCTTTTTAGAATTTTGCTTATTTACACCTTTTTTGACATGAACAATTTCATCAAGTAATTCTTGAACTACTTTCAAGTACTTTGGATTAAGAACAGCTCTAGACTTCCCATCTGAACTGCTTCCTGGAATAATCATATCCTCATTCGAGTTCAAGAAAATGGGATTATGATTCTGATATTGGAATGAAGAAATCTGCATTCCTGATGGTACATTTGTACCGAAACTAAGGGATAATCCTGAAGATCCATCCACCGAGTTCATTAGTACAGTCTGATTTCGACCTTCGTCTCTCCACGCCTCGAAATCATGCTGCGCAATTCTCGACTCATCAAGATTCGACAAAAATTCTCTGTTCGGATTTGGATATGATTCTGATGAAGATGAGAAATTCATGTACATTGTCATTTGTCCTGGAAGTTGTGCTTCTGAATAAGAATTGGGTAAAGAGTCTCTTGGATAGAGGACAGTGGCAGTATCTCTCTGATTGTTTGAATTGGGATAATTTGTTGCCATTTTTTTCTGTTTATGAAACCTTTCCTTCTGCAGATCAATTTGAGATGAGAAAATAAATCTACGCGTATGCCTTGGACAATCCTGCCAATTTCGAGGAAAACTCGTCAAGGTCGACTACACAGAACTAGATAGTATTCACAAATAGAAGAAGCTCAATCTCTCGTCAATTGATGATCTTAATTTTCTATATGCATGAATATGGTTCTAGCAAATAAATATGTAGGGTTGAATTCACAAGTTACTCGTAGTTTCAGATTATATTTTAAGTCAGCAATCAACAAGTCAAAAATTCTTTTAGATTTTAATCATTAAAAAATAAAAATAAAAATAAAAGTCTTTCTGGTAGCTTCAATGATTGACATGTCCAAATTCTGAATATCCTGTGAATCTGTGATACCAAATTAATGATCAAGAAAGTGAAGAACATTTCACTATCCGAAAACGCGTTAACAACGACAGGAATCCGTCTGTGAAAGGTTTTATCGACATAACAAAGGTGTCAAAAATTCTGATTTAACAAAAACCAGAATTGTATCCAGAAACAAACACAATTTGAACAAATAATGATAATTAAATTCTTGTTAGAACATCATCTAAAATAATTATAATGGAAGGGAAAAAGTCTAAAAAAATAAAAAATAATAAATAAAAATACAAACCTGAAAACCAGCAAGAGTTGTCTGTGTTGTGAAGAACGCGAAATCAATTCTTCCTTGAAAGCAGTTGTGCCAATCGTAATCCCCACACTCCAAACTTTCTCTCTCACACACTAATTAAGAAAGAGGATAAGAACTCAGAAACCCATAAGAGAAAATGAACTTTTCTTTCAGTTCTCTCCCTTTCTCTTTCACACACATACACTCAGACCAAGAAATGAGAGAAAGAAGCAAACTTCAAAAACCCAAAAGAGAAAATCAACTTTTTTCCTGTTTTGTTCACTTGATCAAAGTTAAAAAGTTCAAAAGTACAAGAAAATCATGCATCGCTTTAACTTGTTCTCCTTTTTTCTTATTTTCATATATCTATTCACACGTGATACTCACATACGTGATACTCACATACACAATGAACACAGTCTCTTTCTTTCTTGTTTCCACTCTCTCTCTCTCTATAATATCTTCATGAAAGCTCCAAAAAAGCCTCTCTCTCTTCTTCTTTTGAAACCTTTAAAAATTGCACAAATTAAATGGTCACTTTCTCTTTGTATATCCTTTTCTATTTGCTCTTAGAATATGGGGTTTAATATTAGCATCTCTATCTTTGGTTGTTGCTATTGAATTATTCTTGTTGGTTAATTCTTTGCTGTTGATGATGTTTGGTTATGGAGTACCCCTCTCTAACAACCAGTTGGTAGACCTAAACCTCCCTTAAACCCATACCACCCCACCTCAAATAATTTCAATAGTACATGAAATAAAAAATAATGCTTGTAAATTGCACAACTAGTTTAACCAACGTTGAGATGACAGTACTTGATTGGCTATTTTAGCTTTATTTTTTTGTTCAAAATTCAATGATATATTGCTATGTGATATCCTGTAAATTCGTCTGTACATGCAACTTTGTTTTTATTAAATAATGGGACTCACTATCTAATTGGAACTTTGCTATTTGTACAATTGGGATTGACACCTCGGATAACACTCTCCTCAGAAAAGGGGGGATCCACGATTATTTTATTACGTGTGGACCCCCCTCTCTTGTGAGAGGAGTGTCATCCAAGGTATCAATCCTGAATGTACAAATAGTTTTATTGATCTAATTGGGATGAAAATATTATTAAATAATGCACATTTCAATTGAATAGTCATAGTAATTATTGAGCTCAATACTTCAAAAAGTACCAAAAAGTTTCTCTCCCTCTTCATAGAAAAATGATTTACGTGATAAGTTCATACTTAACCTCCAATGAATGGATTTATCGTGTTGTTGATACTTAGCTAAATTGATATTAATAAATAGATATACATATACATACACTTCTCGCCCTTTTTTAATTGCTTTTATTTATTTGTAATGGGATATTTTATTGTATTAGGTGAAAAAAAAATTATTTATTACAATTTAAAAGGATGCACAGTAGGTTGCACAACTCATTACAAGGATGGACCTTTCAAAATTCTTCACTTACCTCAATTTTTTTATCAAATTAATTTTATTGCAAGGACATCTTTCTAAAAACAATATAATGAACTCCCAATAATTATTTTTTATAATTCAAGCAATTCAGCATTGAAATTCTTACGTCAAATATTCAAAAGATAAATATGAGACATAGCTTTAAATATTGATCCAAGAAACCTAAAAATGCATCACCGACGTGAAACTTGTTCATATTGACTCGGTTTGATTTTCAATTCACACATTGAAAGAGAGAAAAATAATAATAATTCTGCTATGCTACTGGGGAGTGTTTGACACCTTTTTTGATAAATCCCTCATATTAGGGGGGACAAGATTTTTTGACTTTTTTTATTCACATGAATCTCATTTTTATGTGAGTATAAGTCAACAAGGGTAACAATTTTTTTTATGGCAAAGAAGTTTAATTCAAATAACAATTTTAGGGGGCATAGAATCAATTAATGAAATTTACAGGGACTGAGATAATGAATTTGTAAACGACAAAATCTAGTCGGAGAGGGTCATAGCCGCAGGGATAATGACAGTCACAGAGCATGAGGATTCGGAAATGCAGTATCTAAAGTTGCACAAAAGCAGAGACTTGATTGGTCACTAGCCAACACGTAATCATTTGGATTTTTATTTTTGTCTGAAATAAATATTTAAGTAAGTAAAAAAACAATTAACAAAATCAATGGAAAAAAGGTTGTACCCCAACCTTGAGGGCTCTTACGTCCCGTTCCTAGAGTATCGTGAAGAAGGTAAATTGCTGAATGTGTCCCACTAGGTCAGAGAATAAGAGTTTGTCCGTACACTGATACCCACAAAAAGTCAAATTTCATATCTCAGGAATTGAACATTTACACTACGGCTGCGAGCAAAACTGAAAGTATCTCACTCATGTCTTTTATAC